AATACCTGATTGAGCCTAAACTGGGGCAAATGGGACGGACATGGTCAGGAGCAGATCCCAGCTGCACACTGAACCAGGCACTCACCTCCCTGCCCCAGAAAGGGGCCTTGCTCGGGCGGGGGGGTTAGTGCTGTAGGCACGGGCATCCATCTGGGGCCCGGGGGCGGGGGGGTGGGGTAGGGCTCACCTTGGGCCTCGTCTGGGGCTGCCTGGCTCTCCAGCTGGCCAGCCTGCAGTGCCCGACGGAGCTGCATGCGGATGATGTCGATCTTGGTCTTACTGTCCTGCAGCATCTGCTGGGCCGTCAGCAGCAGCTTCCGGTCCTGGGGGCAGAGGTGGGCCATGAGGGGCAGGAGAGGGTGGGCAGTGGGGGCTGGCCCCCTGGCCTTTGGCCCACCCTGGGCAGGCCCTGGGACACTCATGGCAGCAGGCACATGTGGGTGCAATCGCGGGCACAGTCAGGTCTTCCACATGTTCCTGAGTGGAGCGATTTCTACACACAAGCTCCAATCCCAGCTAGGCAGTCTCACCTTGGGCAAGTCACTCAACCTGCCCGGGCCTCAGTTTCCTCAGCTGCACACCAGGGACACTCTCAGTGCTGGGCTGCCCTGGGCACCGAGGGGCAGGGTAGGGCCGGGCTGGGCCCACAAAAGGTGTTGTGTCTATGCTATGTCTCAGAGTGGAGTGGGCCCATGAACAGGGTGGCCCCCGGCCTTTGGCCCAGGGGCAGCACATGGGGGACTCCCCAGTGTGCCGTCAGTGGGGTCCCGTGTGTGGGTTTCGAGGTATGCCCAGGGCCAGACCCAGCCCACCACGCTGTGTGTGGATGGGGCCTGGAGATGGATGTGGACTTGCCCATCTCTTTTGGACTGTGTTTCTGCTCAGCTAAGACCATGTGTCCAGTCCACGCATGCTCACTGAGGTCATGCCATCCGCAACGCCTCCCCCGCCCCCCGCCGGGTCCATTCTGACTCACAGCGAGCCTCTAGGGCAAAATCGAGCTACCGTATCAGGTTCCCTTGGCTTCAGTCTTCCAGAATCTGCTGGCGGGTTTCAAACTGCCAGCTTTTAGGTTGGCACTGAGCTCTTAGCCACTGGCCCCCAGGACTCCTTATGCCATCCCCCAAGTGGGTAGGAGTTGGAATTGGGGGGATAAAAGCATGGGTCATGTTGTCACATAGAAAGTATAGATACACCTATGGGACACGACAGACACTCCTGTGGGATAAAAGTGCCTCGGGGGTGGTGGTGGTGTAGAGGTGGAAACTGTTGAACGGATGGAGGCTTTGCGGAGGTTATTTTCACTGCAATTAACAACAAACAAAACACGGGTGGCTTGAAAAACAAACACAAACCCCACAGCCATCAGGTCGCGCTCTGACTCAGAGCCGCCCCAGAAAACCCAAGCCAAACGCATTTCCATGGAATCGATGCCCACTCATGGTGACCCTCTAGGGCAGGGCAGCACTGCCCCTGTGACTTTCCACGACTGTCAGTCTTTACAGGACTAGAAAGCCCTGTCTTCCTCCCATGGAGAGGCTGGTGGCTTCACACTGCCGACCTTGCAGTAATCAGCCCTATGCGTAAGCACTACGCCACCCGGGCTCCTACAGCAACCCCACAGGACAGAGTAGAGCTGTCCTATAGGGTGTCTGGGGCTGTACATCTTTCCATGAGCAGACTGCCCCATCGCTCTCCCACAGAGGGGCCGGTGGATTTGAGCCAGTGACCTTTGGGTGAGCAGCCGAGGCCTTGAATATAGCAGCGCCAGGGCGCCTGCTCACAGGTGGTGGCAAAACTGCTTACAGTAGCCCAAGGGGGAAACAACCCAAGTGTCCACCTGCAGATGGGCAGGGAAGATGGACGGATAAGCTGTCCACATACCCAGGAGGACACGAGAAGGGCTGGAGCTCAGGTGACAGTGTGGCCGAACCTGGAGGTCAGGATGCTGGGGGAAAACCAGCCGGCCACAAAAGGCCCATCTGTTCTATGAGCCCGTTTATATGGATTTTATATGAAGCCCAGAGATCCTCTGGGCTGGGGGTGGGGTGGTGTGTGTGGGGGTAACCGCATCATATCGAGTCAAATTGAAAGGTGGATTTTCCTTTCTTCAACGAACACCCTGCATTTCTTTTGGGGATGGGTGTCAGACCTTTACAAAGAGTGGTGCTAACTGCACGACCGGGCCAGTGTGCCTCCTGACACTGAGCTGTCTCCTGGTGAGTGGTGACCATGGGGTCGGGGTGATTGGGAAAAAATGCCTTGGGGTGAGGGAGGAGGGGGAGGGACATGAAGGGCGGGCAGGTCAGATGGAAGGGTGGGCTTCTGTCTGCTCAGCAAACACTTCAGGGTAGCATTTATTATGTGCCTGGCACAGGCCAGGGGGCTGCAGAGAAGTTCGAGAATCGTGGACTTGGAGTACTGGTCTGCTCTGTTAACCTGCACCCGATTCCCAACACAAAGTTAAAAAAAAAAAAAAAAGAGGCCATGGAAAATGGAATTAAAAGCTCACGGGATGACAAAATAACAATTTATAAATTATCAAGGGCTCATGAGGGAGGGGGCGAGGGAAGGGGAAAAGTGAGGACCTAGTACCGGGGGCTTAAGTGGAGAGGAAATGTTTTGAGAATGACGAGGGCAATGAATGTACGGATGTGCTTTGCACAATTGATGTTATGTATGGATTGTGATAAGAGTTGTATGAGCCCCTAATAAAATGATTAAAAAATCTTGGGATTTCCACCCCCTAACCCCTATCCCCCCCCCCTCCCCACTCACAGGAACTTCTGGAAGCCCCCGTGTGTGTTGCGTTTGAAGGGCGGAGTCTGAGATGCAGTGGTGTCCGGCTGCCGTCCACGCTTGTCATTGCAGAACAATCACTGACCCCAAGAGGGCGCTGCGGGCAACCTCCGGCAGACCCGGATTCGGACATCAGCTTGCCAAGTCTCACAAGCTGAGACACACCTTGTGTGTGAGACTTAGGGTGCTGACAGCACGGGCACTTGGGTGTGAGTGTGGGAGGGCCTCTGAGTGTGGGAGGGCCTCTGGCTGACAGCATTTGCACCTGGGTGTTGTGTGTGAGACTCTGGGTGCTGACAGCATGCGTACCTGGAGGTTGGTCTGGGCGGGGCCTTCCAGGGAAGCCTACTTCTAAGGTGGGTGCTCCCTATCTGTTTTAATAAACCCCGGGCAACAACATGGCCGGAGAAAAGAGGGTGTTCTGGGTGGGTCTAGCTAATAAAACCTTTAAACCAAGCCCACTGCAAATAAGACCAAACCCAGTTCGCTGCAAGTCATGCCGACCCTGTGTGCTACGAAAAGACCTGTGCTCTGCGCGGTTTTCGTAGCTGTTATCTCTATGGAAGCAGGCCGCTAGGCCTTTCTTCTGTGGTGCTGCTGGGTGCTTCTGACCCTGAGCCTTTATGTTAGTGGTCAAGTGCGAATAGGGTGTGCCCTCCAGGAGGCTACTGGACAGAGCTCAAAACCAGGCAAAATGAATCTGTTAACATTGAAGTCCTGATATTGACTAGAGGGGGCAGGTGGGACTTACTGGGCGACGGGCAGTATTCTAAAATTTCAGATGTGGGCAATGGTTACACAGGCAAACGCCCCTGTGCTGCACATGTAACCTTAGTGCCCTTTACTGCACAGGCATGACGTCCAGATAAAAGACCTCCCGAGTGCTGTGTCCTGCCCTGCAGTCCCTGCCGCTGTATGTGCACACGCATGTGAGCACGGTCCTCCTGATGGCGAAAACACACCATGGCCCCAGCTGCAGGCCTGGCTGCGTGGGACACGTCGTGCTGACAGAGGTCCGTGTGTGTGTGTCCCTGGTGATGGCCTGACTGGGGACGTGTGTGCCTGCGGGACAATGCTGGGCTCTGGGTGTGCAGTCCCTTGTGTATATCTAGGCATTGCTGTGATGGTCGGTCTCTGGGTGGTACTCATGTACGGAGGTCCACGTGTCTGTGTGGTTATACCTGTGGTTATCCACGCTGCGTCGTTGCGTCTATGTGAGCCTCATGTTGATGTGTGTGTGTGTGTGTGTGTGTGTGTATGCACGAGCATGTGCACATGCACATGCAGCACGGGCAAGGCACACCCTACAAGCAGCATGAGAGTCTGAGTACTGACCGGTGGGTTGCCTGAGTCTCTGGGGGTGAGTGAGTGGTGCAGAGACAGTCTCTGCTGATTGTCTGTCTGACATCATCCACACTCACTGTGTCCTGCATACCCCCATGAGCTGCCCACTCCTCTGGCCTGTTTCTAAGCCACTTGGACATCCCTCGGTCACTGACCCAGAGAGCCCCAGCCTCAGTCAGGGCAGCTGCAAGGAGCCCCCTGTCCGCCACCCTGAGTCCTTGGTCTCCGCGCACGTGGGTGGATATGGCTGTGCCTGGGCACGTGTGGCTGTGTATACACACGTGTGCGGATGCCCGTGCATGGCCCTCACCTTGGTGCTGCCGTGGCTGTACGTCTGGATCATGTTCTCTGCGCCCTGCTTCACCTTCAGCTCAATGGCCAGCTGCTTCTCCAGGCCAGCCACCAGGCTCAGGTTGGTGGCCAAGCAGGCTGGGCTGCCCACACCTGGAGACTGGGGGTCATCTGGAGGGGGCAGGAGGGAGAGAGTCACCACAGCCTTCGACTTGGTCGGCTTGGGGGAGTTTGTGCCACAGCTCACCGCCAGGGGACCTCAGTCCAGTCTGGCTATCCTCCACGCCTGGGGTGCAGGTGGGCGAGGCATGGTGGGCTGACAGACAGGCAGGAGGGGCGGGCTCACACCTGGAAGCTTCCAGCTGCACCAGCCCTCCAAGGAAAAGCCCTTCAGGGCTACGGCTGGAGCCAGCATGGCAGAGCTTGGGCTGGCCTTCGGGTATGTGCCGGTCTGTGGGCGGGAGGGTGTGATGGGGCACGGGAATCCCCAATAGTTTACAAGGCTCCGCGACTTTCTGTCTGTGAATTGCAGGTACCAGCCCGACCGAGGCGCCGGGTGCCTGTGTGGGTCCCAGGTGTCAGGGTGACAATGTTCTATGGGCGCAGCTGTGCTTCCAGGCCACTAGGCTACATGGGTGTGCCCGCGTGGGAGGCTGGGTGCCGGACAGCCATATATGGCAGTCTCTGAGTCTCCGGGGTGGCTCAGGGGAGGTCTCTGGGTCACACACATGTGACTGTGTGCGTGTCATCCCAGGTGTGAAGTGACGAGGAGTCTTCCAGCACTGTGGCTGTACAGGCAGATCTGGCCATGGCTGGATGGGACAAATCTGTGCATGCTGGGTCGCTGGATGTGGCCGAGTGTTTAGAGGGCAGTGTGTCAAGCTCTGGACAGCACTGGGCGTCTGAACACAGAGGGAGGTTTGGGGTGTTGTCCGCGCATGCGTGTGGCAGCACTCAGGATTTCTGGGCAGTCCCTGTGATAATGGGCAGGCCTTCGGGCGTGGTCTAGGGCTGGTGTGACCAGGTGCAGGATTCTCTGGAGGCGGGTGTGACTGTGCACGGAAGTCTCTGTGCTTCAGTAAGACAGTGTAACGTCTTTGGGTGTCCTCCAAGTGTTGATGTGATTATGTGCCTGAGTGTCAGGGTGCCGGTGTGACATCAGGTAAGTCTATGGGCGCTTCTGATGATGGAGTGATTGTGTGGGAGGGGAGCCTGTGGGTGCTGACAGCATGCACACCTGGTTGTTGGTGTCTGGGGGCCTGTGGGTGCTGACAGCATACCAGTCTTGGTATTGGTGTAGGCATCTGTGGGTGCTGACAGCATGCACACCTGTGGGTGCTGATAGCATGCACACCTGAGTGTTGGTGTCTGGGGGCCTGTGGGTACTGACAGCATGCACACCTGGGTGTCTGGGAGCTTGTAGGCGCTGACAGCATGCCCGTCTGGGTGTTGGTGTAGGCATCTGTGGGTGTCAGCTGGCTGTGTGGATTTCGCTTGTTTCTTTGACTATGTGGGGCCTCGGAGTCGCCTGTCTCTGGGCCCCTGAGGCAGTGGAACCTCCAGGGTTGGCCCCCTTGCAGACAGTGGGGACGGCCCTGGGTCGGGAAAAGGCCTGGGGTCCCTCATGCACCTGGCAGCCCCACTCACCTCGGGCAGCAGCTGCAGGGTCGGGCAGCACCACATGGGCATGCAGCTCCTGCAGCTGCTGGTGCAGCAGGTCCAGGCGGCGCGAGGAGCCCCGCAGCAGCAGCTCCACAGGGCCCAGGCTGCGGCCCAGGTCAGTGGTGGCTCGTCGCAGGTTCTCGGCCCCCTCCTTCAGCTTCAGCTCTTTGCGGATCTCCCGCCGCAGCCGCTCCCGCTCCAGCTCCAGCTGCTGCTGCACCCCAGGGGCTGCCAGGTCCGCCCCTGCCAGGCCCAGCTGCTCCAGCAGGGACCAGCTGCGAGGCTCGCTCTGTAGGGAAAAACAGGGTTGGGGGAGTGGCTCGGTGGGAGTATGGGGGGACGACCACCTGTGCCAGCCTGGGGCCCAGCTTCTTCAGGTTCCTCCAGTTGGGGAGCTCAGAAGACAGGGCTGGCTCCCCTTCCTCAGAGCCCCCAAACTGGGAGGCTAGGGCAGGGCCCACTCCTTGTTCTCCACTGGCCTTATAGAGTGAGGGCCCAAGGCAGGGCTTTCTCCCTTCCTCCGTCCCTGCAGACTGGGGAACCTCAGTCTTCATTTTTTCTCTCGTGTAGTGGGCTTTCTGGAAGGCAGACCCCCATGGACCCGCCATAGCCTCCCAAACTAGAGGTTATAGAAAGTATGCCCCATTTTCCCTCTGCTGTCCCCCCCCCCAAAGGTGAAGATCCCCCAAGAAGATCCTGTTCCCTGACTCCTGTCCCTCTCCAACCAGGGGGTGTCAATCCCTCAAACTACAAGGTCTCGAAGGTCAGCCCCATGTTCCTGCTGCCGTCCTGCCAACCCAAAGGCTGCGAGTACGGCCTGGCTGCGCTCTGCTGTCCCCATGGACCAGGAGGTCCTGGACTGAGCCTCAGGCTTACCCTCCCACTCCCTCTGTCCCCTTACTCGCTCTCACTCACAGCCCCACCTCCCCCACTGCGCCCCAAAGGAGGAGTTCCCCAACACAGACTTGGCTTCCTTCCTTATCTACTCGCCCCAACCTGGGCGTCCCTGAAAAGCCACAAATAATCTCCTCCTGCCAACCCAGAATTTGGAGGCCAGAGCCTCATGGCCTCTCAGCCCAAAACGAAGAGGCACAGAGCGCTGCCTCCCACCCGACCCCACCGGTCCCTTTTGGGGTCCTCTCCCATTAGCCCACCACAGGAACCCAGCCTCCACCTCCAGCTCCGGGTCCGAAGGGGGATTGGGCTCCGCCATCCTGGGTCCGGGGTGGGGGCCCCGCCCTCTTCCTGAGCCTCAGCCCTGCCAGGGCCTCTCACAGCCACTTCCTCTTTCTTGCCAGCTCCCAGCACCCCCTGCGGCCGGCCAGCCCCTGGGCTCTGGGGCATCCTGGAGAGCATCCCCTCAGCTCCTGCTGCAAGGCCAGCCCTGTCCCCAGAGGCACCCAGGGCCTGGGCTCACTCCCTGGCCAGTCAGGGTGCCCAACGTGCCCAGGCATGCACACCCACATACATCCACTGCAGTGCTAAGGGCAGAGGGGGGTCCACTGTGTGTGCAGGCTTCAGGGGGCTGCTGTGGGTGTGCACACACTCTCACAGAGCTACAGGTGTGCATGTGGAACCAAGGCTCACACGTGTGCATGCTACCAATCCTCAGGTGTACACAGATGAATGCGCACGCCTACATCCACATGATTGTGCACAGAAACCAGGCTCACACATGTGCGTGCTCTCAGCCCTCGGGTGTACACAGTTGAGTGCCCCTGCCTCTACCCACATGGCTGTGCACAGAACCCAGGCACACACGTGTGCACACTTCCAGCTCACGGGTGTGCACATGGAACATGGATTCAGATATGAGCATACCCCCAGCCTGTGGGCATACACAGTTGAGTACACACACCTGCACTCATAGGGCTGTACACAGAACACAGGCTCACATGTATGTACCCCCTCCACACCCTTGGGTCAATGCAGAGAGCATAGCCCCACATGTTTTCACATCTCCACACCTATGGGTGTCAGCATGGAACCCAGGTTCACAGCGTGGGCACATTCCCACACCTCCCACATGTACACTGGCCTATACCCACCTATGAGTGTGTACACGACTCACTTTAGAACTTGGACACACACTTGCCCGTGTGGGCACAGCCCCTGAGCTCGCACATGGACCCCCACTCCCCACAGCCCCACATCCTGCCCCGGCTCCCACAGACCTCCTGACCTGCTGACGCCTCCACGTGTCCCTGTGGCTGGGCCCTCTCACCCCGCCCCTTGTCCCCTACTTCCCCTTTGGGGTCAACACAGCGACATCAGCAGAGGCGGAGTCCTTTCCTGCAGGCCGAGGCTGTCTGACTTCCTGCTTCCTATCCGTCCAGCACCAACTGCAGCTGACCACAGCTCCATGGCCCCGGGGGGCCTGCAGGGGTTACCTGGGTGGGCCAGCACCCTTGGGGGAAAAGTACTGAGGGACTGGAGTGAGGATGACCCAAACCAGCACCTGCTTATCCAAGCACCCACTCACACTCCAATACAACTGTGGATACGAGTTGCCAGCCAGAGTAACCCCTTGAGCTAAGCACCATTTTCACCCCTCCAGTCTAGATGAGGCAGCAGGCCATGAGGGGAGCCCCCATAGGCCCGCAGCCAGCAGGAGGCAGGCCAGGAATCTGCAAGGGGCACCCAGCATCTGAGTTCGGACTAAAGGCAGCACCAGTGTTACCTGAGACCCCACTAGACAGGCAGGGCTCCGGCTGTCACCCCACCTGGGAGCAGCTGTTCTCTAGGGAGGGTTTACTTCAGGCCAAGAGCCGGGGTCCCACCTGTGACTGTGAGCAGCGGCCATCCTTCACCCACTTCATGGGGCAGGACACGGGGGCTCCTGCCATTCTCAACCAGGGACCACTTGACCCCACCACTGGGGACACCTGGAAATGTCCACCAGGGCAGGGGCACTACTGGTATCCAGTGGGTTGGAGCCAGGACAGTACCGCCCCTCTCCCCACAGAGACCCAGCCAGCCTCACAGGCTGAGCTGAAAACACAGACTCCACACCTGGCCCAGGCTGCTCCTCTCCTCACTCAATACCTGACGGCAGCCCCAACTGTTTCCCTCCCCTGTGAAGACCCTCTTATTATGATGCCAACAAATGTACGAATGTGCTGGATGGATGGATGGATTGTAAAAAGAGTTGTACGAACCCCCAATAAAATGATTTTTTTTTTAAAGAGAAGAAAAAAGATCCTCTTTTTAGCCCCTTTCTCCCACAACAGAGCCAAGGCTCAGAGAGGTAGAGGCACTGCGACCAGGACACACAGTGAGGCAGGCTCAGCACTCACAACCCCCTCCCCAGCAGGCAGAGCAGGGGCACAGCCAGCAGCAGGCCAGGTCGCATGGGAAAAGTCCAGGCAGAGAGGAGGAATGCCACCCTCCGCCACCCTCCAGCCGCTCGGCCAGAGGAGAGGGAGGGAGGCAGGGAGGCTGGTCCTCCTAGGTCCTCCTCCCTGGGATGACTCACTTCTACCCAGGGACAAGGGGTCACCTGTGGGCCAACAAGGCAAGCCCAGGAATCATGGGCCTACCCTGGCCTCATGTTATCCCTGCTCCCCAACCCTCTGGAGCCGGAGGGCCCAGGCCCAGGGCACCCACTTTCCAGCACGTCCCCTTTCCCCAGGGCAGCCAGGGACCTAGCCCCCCATGTCCGGAGATTTCAATGCCTTGGGCGTTTCCGGAATCTGGACAGGACATCCGTTTGCCGGACACAGAGTAGACAGGCACACGGCAGGAGAGACAGAGGGACAGGGCAGCAGCCCAGGCAGCCATGAGAAAGGGATGGCTGGGAGGGGAGATGGGGTGGGGGGGTGGGGGGGGTGAAGCCGGGCCAGGCACGGCTGGCGCCTTGAAGCAGGACTCACGGCCTCTGCTGAGTGGGTCCTGAGTGGCATACACCAAGCGCATGCATGCGCAGGGGTGGGGGGGTGGGGCTCCTACACAGCCCTCCCTGGGCCGGCGGTGGGGGCAGGGACCCCGGCCCACGCCCACCCCAAGGTCTGACCTTGTGTGATCTGCAACACCAGATACGCCCAGCTCCTCGACAAGGCTGGCAGGCCATCAGCAGGACTGGGGTTGGGGGGTGGAGGTGGGTATCATAGGGGGGTCACAGGGAGAGACACAGAGGGGGTGGGGCAGGTGCAGAAGGAGATGAGAACCAGTTACATAGAGGCCACAGACAGCCAACTGGACGGTGAGCGCTACTGGGGGCACAGAGGCACCGGACATGTCTCAGGTTGGGCCCCAGAGTCAGAGAAGGCAACCTGGGGAAGGTGAGGCCAGGCAGAGATGTCTTCAAGGTGGCACCGGGAGGCCGGGGCAGAGTCTGGCTTGGTGGCAGCTTGGTGCCAGTCACGAGTGTGTGTGTCTACACACACGAGTGACACGAGGGGGGGGCGGGTGGCGCGAGGCAGGGGTGGGGAAGGACTGCAGGTAGGAGCCCAGGTATGGGCACAGCCCCTGCCTGACGGCTGGACGGGAACACCTTGGATAGCCCGGAGGTTGGGCGTGAGGGGTCTTCCTGTCCCCCGACCTAATGAGGTGACTCGGACACTTCCGCCAACAGGTGCCAATCTGGGTAGCGTCGTGGGGACCATCGTAAATCTCGGTCCAGAGGCCTGGCAGCTGGAGATCAGCTGTGCGGGGGAGGGGCCGCGGCATCCTCCCTCCCCAGGCACCTGCCCCAGGTGGAGCGGCACCTGCGGGGCACCCAGCACTGGGGGGTTTGGAAAGAGGGGCAGATGGGGGGAGGGGGCGCGACAGGCACCCAGGGAGCACAGCCAACCACACACACCCGAAGTCGTGCCTCCACCGCGCCCCCTTGGTTTCTCGCGGAGGGACCGAGCTGGGGTGCCGCGGGGGGGCTCCCGGCCCTCCCGCCCCT